TTACTGGCCTCAGATGCCACAGGTGGGGGCAGCCTGTGAGGACCCTTCTTGGCTGAGGCCCTTTCCTGGGGCCTCCTTCTAGGAGCATGTTGACACTTTGAGACTGCTCCTAGTGAGGAAAATGTTCCAGGCTGGCCACAAGTGCATCCTGGGGAGAGGGGTGAGTGGGACCTTGGGGGGCACTTCCCAGGACCCAGCTGTGCTGTGACACTGCCTGTGACATCAGCCTTGGTCCTCACAGCCGCCCTACCTCCCAGGGGAGGGAATAAGGCATAGGTGTGCAGACCCGCCCCTATCACCCAAGCAGGGAGCCCTCCCCCCGCCTTACCTGGAGAAACTTGTTGCTTCCTCCATGGCCCCTTTGCTGGGGAATGGGGAAGGAAATGTGCGTCTGTGGCAGGATCAGGGTGCTGGGGAGAGAGAGGGGAAAGACAGAGCAGAGCCCTTAAGATGTTGCAACCTGCCAGGTCCCGGGGTTCAGGGGGGGTGATGGTGCTTGGCCCCTCAGCCTGCTGCAGTCCTGTGTGGTACTGTGAGTGCAGGGGAGTGGCAGGCAGGCAGAGTGTGTGCTGGTCATGCCGTCCCCCCTTCCCTCTGAGGTCACTCCTTCCCTGAGCTGCCCCCTGCCAGTCTCAGGAACCTTAAAGAGTACCCCCATTGGGAGGCCAGAGCAGCCAGCAGGTCCTCCACACCAGGAGCCCCTGAAACTTCTGAAATCACTCCACCCAGACTTCCTGTCCACCCTCCCTCACCCAGACTTTGCCCAGGAGGAAGGAGTCTGAGCCACTGCTGCACCCTCTGTGCCTGGTGCACCACAGGTGCTCAAAGCATCTGACCTGCTAAATGTCCGGGCTCAGATTCTGGCCGGGTGCTGCCCGTGGTGGTAGACAGGCCACATGAGTCTGTGCCTGTGATGAGTTCTCCCTTCCAGCAAGAGAGAATAAGATCAACTGTTGGGGAGAAGAGAAAATGGGGCCACCTGATCGTGCAGGGGAGGTGAACTGGTCGGGGAGGGGGCTTGGAAGCTGTACTGGGTTGTGGGCTTTGGGGTCAGACAGGCATAGAGTTCTGATGCTGCCACCCACTCACCACGTGTAACCTTGGACAGGTCACTTCTCTCTTGAGCCCAGGTTCCTGGGCTGAAAACGGGTGGGTGGTCTACCTTGGAGGGTAGTGAAGGGGGTTAAGTAAAAGGAAGCGAGGCCTGTATCAGCAGGCACCTAGCAGGGATTCCAGTGCTGCTGTTGCCGTGGGCAGAGCTTGCCTGTGGGCGGGACTTTCCTGCAGGCCAAGTCCCTGGGCACTGGCACAGAGAAGGGTGGGGAAGACGGACGCTGGACTCGTCCATAGGTGCACAGGGAGCTGTGCCCTTTCCCCCAGAGGGCCCACAGAACTGCCTTATGTAACTGCCGGCAGCGGGCGGCCAGGTGCCCGCTTGCTGGGGCCCCTTCTCAGCCCTGGCCAGGCCACCGTCTAGGTACTTGCGATTTACAGCCTTTGACTGCAATTCTTCTTTTCCTTCTTTAATGTTCAGTCTCCAAATTTTTCTAGGGCTAAGGGTAGCAGGCGAGGGGCTGTTCCAGTTAAGGACAAATAGCTATGCCCTCTGGTTGGTATAGCTCAGGCCTGGGAGGAGCCCTGCCCCTCCACATTCTATGTGGCCACCTGACCCTGTCAGCCTGGAGCTGGTGGGACCGGTGCCCCTCAAGACACTCCTCTTTATTTTAGTGCCCCTCTCAACTGAGGAGGAAACCCCAGCGGCGGTGGGGCACCTGAGCCCAGGATGGCGAGCAGGCCGGCGGGACCGCGAGTGCCTGGCGGAGTGGCACGTGCAGCCCAGGACTCCCGGCTCCCACCTCCTGCTGTAGGTGTGGGCCCCGCACTCTCCACGGCCTTGTCCCGGGCTTCATGTGCACAGGGCTGGGCCAGCTGCCACTGGCCAGGGCAGCCCAACCAATGCCCTGGGCCCGGCTGGCCGGG